ACAGGGTGACAACACAGGGGCATAATTGGAATATAAAAGGTCTGAACAAGGACCTTCATGGCAGGATTACCGGGTACTGTTGTCATAAAAACTGTAGACTTAAAGTGTCACTAAACGATACTTCTGAAATCAATGTGTCACTCTGGCGCTGTGTGGGCAGTTATTATGAATGGGAGGTTTCTCTGTTCTTCTGCGTCAAGGGTGGCCAACTGCAGCCCTCCAGTTATGCTTTTGTAGCGCCCTAGTAGAAAGGGTGCTATTAACCCCTTCATGACTGAGGCCCTTTTTTCATTTTTTGCACCCATGTTATATTCCACATTTTAGGCCTGAAAATGACTTAAAGTACTGTTGTAAAGCCGACAGTCGGCTCTACAAGTTTAAACAGAGTCCCGGCGGCAAAAGTCGCCGGGAGTCTGTTTAAACAGCCCCAATGCTGGCGACGTACACTGTACGTCGTCAGTCACGAAGGGGTTAAATTGACTGTTTATCAGATTGTATGTGGTCTGATACTAATTTGTAGTTTGGATCATGTGGTTCCCCCCTAAACAATCTGTCATTGCTTGCCATCTGTCTGCTGCCAGAGGTACTGCAGGGTGTGCCCTGGTGATAGAACAGAGCAGCCAATGGAATTGCTAGGAGTAGATATCCCTCTCCAGCCAATCACTGTTGAACGATGGCCAGCGGTGCATGCTGGGGGAGGAGATAAATACTCGGGGTGGGCCATGTGAGTGCTCTCTTCCTCCCTCAGGCCCTGCCTAAGTGGACCGGGCCTCAAAGCCTGGGAACTAGCCTTGGAATCACCCTGGAGCCTGGTGGCAGCAGGTCCAGTGGTTGCTACTGCTAAAAGACAAGGATCAGTAGCTCTTACCTCAAATGATGCTGTGTCCGGTGCCTGGCCTGCTGTGCAGGGAAACAGTAACCACATTCTGAAAAGCTATGGAGTCTACATCTGCCTGGATGAGCCTAAGCCTCCTCCTCTCTCCCTGAAGTTCTTCAATAAAAGTTTCAAGCATCACAACTACAGTCTGGACCTCACTTCAATTGTTCAATAGAAGGGCGGTAAATGCTGATGGGCAAAGCAAGTGAATGTATCTCTAGACTAGATGAATCGGAGCTGTTGTAACCCATAGCAACAGACCCTAGTACTCAAGGTGTGCTGCAGTGCTGTGGATCCATAATAGAGGTTTCTAAGGGCCTGTTCACATGATATCAGGTCCTGATCAGGTGTGGATGTGCAGACGCGGTGCTACCGATGCAGTGCGTTTTTGCCGCGTTTTGCATTTACGGTCCGTTCCAGTTAAAAAAACTGCTGGAGTGGGGCTGTCAGTGTGTTAGCTGCAGTGCAGTGCGTTTTGCGTTTCCGGTCCGTTTCCTGACCGTACAAAATGTGACATGCAGTATTTTTCTGTCGTAAGCTGAACGGACTGTGCACGTGAGAACTGTAGCCCATAAAACACATAGGGATACATTGGGATGCCTTTTTAGTGCAGGAGCGCACGGATCAGGTCAGCACAGAAAACGGACGTCGTGTGAACAGGCCCTTGTAGAGGAAGGACAGGGAGACTCGTTATTTCATTTACTGCAGATCACCCCTTCAGAGCCACTGGTAGTGTTATCCTATGCTGGGATATCCCTGAGCGCTACACTTTAACTACAATTCCCAACATGCCTCTGGGAGTCACGCCTGTAACTGTCAGTCTTGCAATTCCTCTTGGGACTTGTAGTTCCGCAACAGCTGGTGGGCAGGAGTTGCCCACTCCTGGTCTACGTGCTGGCTCTGGATGCATCTCTGTATTGAGAGCGAGCATAGGAGGGGGGCTACCTTCCAACATACAGCGGGGCCAAGTAGCCACCCACAAAGAGGAAGTTGCATGTGCAAGTGATTCTTAAAGCAGAAGTAATTAAACAATAAGGCCCCAGGAGCTGTTTTCTATAATGTGCTAGTATGCCCAGTGTATGAGCACTGATTTACCTACAGAAGTCATCCACTCCAGCACTGCTCATCTCAATCCCTAACGCTTCCATCTTCTGGGTTCCGGGTCTTCAGGCCGCTTCCCTGTGACCTAACTCCCACACATGAGAGCAAGAATCCTTCCAAGACTATACATCAGGGGTGGGCAAACTCTGTCCCTCCAGCTGTGATGAAACTACAAGTCCCACCATGCATCTCTCTCTAGGAGTCATGTCTGTGGCTGTGAGAATCTTGTAATGACTCATGGGATTTGTAGTTCCACCACAGCTGCAGGGACAGTTTGCCCACCCCTGCTGTACATTGAACTGTACATTCATGGCCCGGTGTAGAGTTGTAGAACAAAGTGCTCACAGGCAGGAAGAAACATCTTCGTGCCTGTCAGCACTTTTGGAAAAGAAAGCTTCACTTCCACTTTAGGGACGTGCTCTCAGAAGAAGGACACAGATAACAACAAAAGTATGTTATCTAAATTCATGTTATTTATGTGGGTTTAGTATCATTTGAAAAAAGAAAACATGTTAAACATTGTATGTGATTTTAGTCATCAGGTTTATCTATTTTAACCCTTCCCTAGTTGAATAAAATGGATGTTACCCAGCTAGTTATAATTACAGGGCTGGGTTGTCTGAGGAGGGAGCTCTATGGGGTAGGCAATCCAGCTGTGGTGAAACTACAAATCCCATGAAGCATTGCAAAGCTGACAGTCATAAGCATAACTCCCAGAGCCAAAGGCATGATGGGATTTGTAGTTTCACCACAGCTGGAGGGCAGAGGTTGCACAACTCTTTTCATGCATAACCGGTGATATATTCCACACAGGGTGATGCACTCAGATCTCTGTCCCCCTGCATACAGTCAGGTGTTAGCCCTCCAGTCCCTGACCGGGTCCAGCCAGTTGGTGCACATTAACCCCTTTGCTGCAACCTGGCAGCCATAACAGAGCTTCTCATCCCTGCCCACATCATGAAAGCAGTTTAGCTGTGGGCGGGTCTCTGCATTAAAGTTTAACGCTCGAGCACTCAGCACACAGGTCACGTGGCATAGGCACGGGAAGGGAGGGCAATGCTTGAAAAGTTCTTGAAGGGCAAATAGGTGAAGAAATGCCATCATGACACCGGGCATGGATGCTTTGCCGCCCGCTTACGTTCTCTCTGTGCCCCTGTCACCCGTTCAGCAGCATGCACCTGCAAGGGATTAGGGCTGCGGTGATGAAACAGGCTAGATATTCGATGCCCGGGGCGAAGCTCTTCCTCTGGGCGTTGTCCTGTGGACATGTATCTGACTTGTGTGTGCTGGAGGTGATCCACATACACGGTCACCAGCTCTCATCTCCCTTGCCAGGGGGTCTCATCCTCGCCCAGTTTAGCTGATGCTCAGCATTTCCCCGGCCCTTCTCCCAGGCAGGTGCGTGATTGTCTCTCCTCACGACCTTCATCCCGGTGCTGTGACGACAGAGACAAGAGCATCATCGCCTCCAGTCTCTGAACAGGGGATACAGACAGATCGCCAACCAACCACTATCTACACATATCGAAGCTGATCTCTTATTGGAGCTGATCTATACATATTACATCAGATCTACACATATCGAAGCTGATCTCTTATTGGAGCTGATCTATACATATTACATCAGATCTACACATATCGAAGCTGATCTGTGTATATTTAGGCTAAAACTGATGTTCAGTGCATATTGAATTTATACATACTGAAGGTGATATACAATATACTTATTGAAGGTGATCTGTACATATTTAGACTGATCTACACTTACTGCAGCTGATATTTAGGCTGATCTATACATATATAGGCTGATCTATACATATATAGGCTGATCTATACATATATAGGCTGATCTATACATATATAGGCTGATCTGCACATATTGAAGGTGATCTATACATATATAGGCTGATCTGTACATATTGAAGGTGATCTATACATATATAGTCTGATCTGCACATATTGAAGGTGATCTGTACATATAGAAGGTGATCTATACATATATAGTCTGATCTGTACATATTGAAGGTGATCTGTACATGTTGAAGGTGATCTATACATATATAGGCTGATCTGTACATATTGAAGGTGATCTATACATATATAGGCTGATCTATACATACTGAAGGTGATCTATACATACTGAAGGTGATCTGTGCATATTGAAGGTGATACTGAAGATATTGAAGGTGATCTATACATACTGAAGGTGATCTATACATACTGAAGGTGATCTATACATATTGAAGGTGATCTGTACATATATAGGCTGATCTGTACATGTTGAAGGTGATCTATACATATATAGGCTGATCTATACACATTGAAGGTGATCTATACATATTGAAGTTGATCAGTACATATTGAAGGTGATACTGAAGGTGATCTGTAGATATTGAAGGTGATCTATACATACTGAAGGTGATCTGTACATATTGAAGGTGATCTGTACATATTGAAGATGATACTGAAGCTGATCAATACATATTTAGACTGATCTACACTTATACTGAAGGTGATCTGTATATATAGAAGGTGATCAGGGTCTCCCTGAGCGGTGACAGAGCTCGGCACCTTACTAACAGATGTAGTTTTTTCCCCCTCTCTCTCTCTCTCTCTCGTCCTCCTGCAAGGGGAGGGGCAGCGGCAGACACTTCTGCACCTCGTCTTTGCATCTGCAGTTGCAAAGCCACGCCCCTTGTCCCGCCCTCCTTGTGTCCATTTCACACTTATTGGCCGTACTATACTCCTGGCTCCGCCTCCTGAGAGAAGAAGGTAGATATATTAGGGGGCGACAAAAGCAAAGACCTCGCCGGTTCCAAGCTTCTCTCCCGTGCCTCTCGCTGGCAGCGCCTGTCATTGTTCAAGAGCCTTTACCCGCGACCGAGGCTCGGAAACCAGGAAGCGACACAACTTTTCCGGTCGGGAGGGAGTTCGGCCGTCTGACCCGGGCTCTTGATTTCGCAAACTAGAAGCACGTTGTAAAAGAAGAACACAAGAGTCAAGGCGACCTCCCTAAAAAGAGAAAAAGAAGCATGGCCAGGGATAAAGCCAAGGAGACCGATGGTGGGTGGAAGAAATTCCTCTGGAATCCAGAGAAGAAGGAGTTCGTGGGCAGAACAGGTGGCAGCTGGTGTAAGTATGATAAGGATCGCCGTGTAATGTTCTGTAGAGGGCACCGATCACCGGCTTCAAGGTGACAGGGACGTGTCCTCTGTGTGTTCGGTGCACCAATCGGGGGACTCTCCCAGCTCAATGAATGGCGTGGGCTACTCAGCCGATGAGATCGTGCTTCTATGACAACCTCCTACTCTCCCTTCGGTCTCATGACATCCTGTTTTATTTCTTTTTTGAGGGGGGAGAAAGGTCATTGTGAAGGACGCCCATGTAGCTAGTCTATAAGAGCTGAGACAAGAGGGAGGGGAGAACCCTGTGTGTGTCATCATCATCACCCACTGCACATCTATTAAGAGGGGTGGCTTATTACAGCTCACCATGGAAAATACGCAGGGCAGGGATGGGGCTGCCAGACTACAATTCATCTGACCCTTAACCTCTCTGGAGGTTTATCCCCATCGTGTGGGGAGAGGGGTTGGGGGGTCACATCAGATGATGGGGATCAAGGGGTTTATTATGCGTCAGTGCTCAAGGTTAGTCAAGGTGACAGGTTACAGACAGGAGCATTAGCAGCCTGTGTGATGTGGATGCTCCTGTGTACAGGGCAGTTAGTGGGGAGGTGATGCCATGTCTGGGCTACAACTAGCCGGAGGCAGGACAATGGTCAGGAATGAACAGGTCCTCCCAAGGTCGTCTCCTAGCAACCGGCTGTAACTTGAGTTAGGCCTCCAAAGCTGCACAATAGAGCCGACATTGCAAAGTATTCCCGAGAGCCTCCTACCCAGCCGCCTTTCTCTTTGGAAATAATTCATAATTGATGAACTTTGGTAGTTATGGAAACATTAAAACTGCACGCTTTAAGCTAGCGTTAATTCTACTCCGTGTGTGATTAAAAAGAGACGAAGGCCAAGGGAAACAAATGCTTTAGAACGTGGCGAACAATGGGAGGCATCACGGCGATGGACACCACAATGACATTGTGCTTTAGTAGTTCCTGGCTTTGTGGGGATTTCTTTTAGGGTTGTTATGGTTTTGCTTTGCTACTTTAGATTCATTATCTGCTTGTGCCCCATAGCGTTGCATGTGTAGGTTATAAAACAGATTGGAGGTAATATTGGTATGTTCGGTACAAAATAAAATGGCACCAAGGAAGGTTCTCACCTTTTTTGGGGAGAAATAGCGGCCTTATGATCTTACTCTGTTAATAACATTGGCAGCACATGCCATATCTGCTGGCAAGGTGACAACCCAGGTCATGTCTATTTTAATGTACATGTTTGGTCTTTTTATCCCATAAAGTTTATCAATTGTGAACGAAGTAGTGTCTCTCTCTCTCTCTCTCTCTCTCTCTCTCTCTCTCTCTCTCTCTCTCTCTCTCTCTCGTCAAGGGGTAGTATCTGCCCAGAGGTGCACTGCAGCACTCAAAGATCTCAACAGGAGGAGATTATTCTGTCCAATGTTTCTGTGGATCATAGTCCAATCCTTGTCCTCCTTGACAAAGGTGGACTGTGATCCCTAATCCATCAAAACATTGGAACACCTTGACAAAGATGGACTGTGATTCATAAAAACGTTGGACTGGCATTTGACAAGGTGGTCCAATGTTTTGATGGATGGCTGTCTGTTTTTGTCACGGTAATCCAATTTTTCCATGGATCACAGTCTGTTTTTGTCAAGGTGGTCCAATGTTTCCATGCATTGCAGTCCATCTTTGTCAAGGTGGTCCAATGTTTCCATGCATTGCAGTACATCTTTGTGAAGGTGGTCCAATGTTTCCATGCATCACAGCTCATCTTTGTCAAGGTGGGCCAATGTTTCCATGCATTGCAGTCCATCTTTGTGAAGGTGGTCCAATGTTTCCATGCATTGCAATCCATCTTTGTGAAGGTGGTCCAATGTTTCCATGCATCACAGTCCATCTTTGTCAAGGTGGTCCAATGTTTCCATGCATTGCAATCCATCTTTGTGAAGGTGGTCCAATGTTTCCATGCATCACAGTCCATCTTTGTCAAGGTG